GATTTTGGATATAAATTGGATGAATTTAATATTAATTAAGTTGAATTTTAATGTTAATTTGATGAATTGAATGTATTAATGTAATATTAATTTGTTAATTACATGTTAATTGAAAACATTGATATTTTAGATATCAATTTGACAAAATGTCCATCTTTAAGGGATAAAAATGTTATTAACCAATTAGGAATTTTAATTGATAAATTTTAATCAATTGATAAATTTGAAAATAAATTAGGTGGATTGAATGTTAATTTAACATTAATTTGATTACTTTAATGTTAACTGGTTGAATTTGAATGTTAATTTAATGAATTAAATGCTTGTTATATAAAATTGAATGTTAATTGGATGAAAATTGAACATTAATTTGGTGTTAAATTGATGAATTGAATGTTAATTAGATGACATTGTATGTTACTTTGGTATAAATTTGATGAAGTGAATGTTTATTGTTTGATTTGGAAAGTTAATTCAATGAATTGAGTGTTAATTGAATAAAATTGAAAGTTTATTTTATTAATTTAATGTTAACTAGTTGAATTTGAATGCTAATTTAGTGTATTAATGCTTATTAGAAAAAATTGAATGTTAATTAGATGAAATTGATTGTTGTTTTGGTGTTAATTTGATAAATTAAATATTAATTTGATGAATTGAATGTTAATTTGGTGTTAATTTGATAAATTAAATTTTAATTGGATGAAATTACAAGTTAATTTGGTGTTGATTTGATGAAATTACATGTTAATTTGACGAATTGAGTGTTCATTGAATGAAATTGAAAGTTTATTTGATTAATTTTGAATGTTAACTAGTTGAACTTGAATGTTAATTTAGTGAATTAAATGTTTATTAGAAAAAATTGAATGTTAATTAGAATATGTTGGGTGTTAATTCGATTAATTGAATATTAATTTGATGAATTGAATGTTAATTTGATAAATTAAATTTTAATTGGATGAAATTACAAGTTAATTTGGTGTTGATTTGATGAAATTACATGTTAATTTGA